AAATAAATAAAAAAATAAAATAAAAGATAATGATGTACAATGTATTAATTATTGAAACTGTCCTATTAATCAGTTTTGAAACTCTCATTGCTATTTGTTTCTCAATAAAATAAAAAAATAGATAATGTATCAATCACTGTTAATCAGCTATTCTTGTTTTGAAAATCTGTAGCATATGTATTGTTACATGTTACGCTGTTACTGTCTTTGCTTCTGTTCTTGCTCTTGTTTTTACTCTTCAAAATACAAGAAAATTATTTCTTAAAATAGTCAGGCACCTTCACTCTTTATTGCTTGCTTTTATTAGTGTTTAACAGTGTTGTATGCCTTTCAAGTGGTCTAAAAACCAGAATTGTTTGCTTTTTATTAACATGGTAGAGATTATTGTAATTGCTAGACATTAAATATGTTTCTCATAGTAAAATTTATAAGTGCTTGGATCTTTGGAAATTTTACTTTCATTTATACTCTTACTGTAGGGGAATTCCATTGATTGGTGCGATTCTGTGTTCTTAGGGCTGCTATTTGCTACTTTTGTGCTTTTAAAAAAATGTAATGATTAAAAGCAAACCCTGTGAAGCTTGTTATATTGCACATAGATACCAGTGCAGGATGATCTTGTCAGACATCTTCCATAACTGCATTCTTGTTGTTAAAAACCGGTAATTATTGTGACTAATAACTTACTTGGTCAGGGATTGAGCTGGGCACTTCACAGTGATTATTTTGACTTTTCATACATACCGTTTGGTTTCTTTTCCTTTTTTTTTTTTTGATGCCAGGGAATGAACTCAGGACCTTGCGCTTATGCCGCTGAGCTATCTCCTTGGCCCCTTCTTGCTTTTTTTCAAAAAAGAAGTCTTTTCTTTATTCTAAGTTCTTATTTCCTTGATATTAAACATACTGCTTTTTTGCTAGTTGTAATATTTTAAATGTTATTCTATTTTATTTAAACCTCTTTTTCATACTCTCGTAATAGATCTTTTTATTTTGTAGTATTTAAAACACCTTATTAAATTCTAAATTGTTATTATTAAGTTATGTATTTGGTAGAGGGACCCACTATGCAACTTGGACTCATAGTGATCCTCCTGTTTTCAGCCTCCCCAATGCTAGGATTACTGTCATGTGCTACCATGCCCAGTCTTGGTGGCCAGCTCAGCATGCTCGGGAGCAGAGTTGGCGCAGCATGTAGTACAGGGGATTGGACCCTGGTCCCTGTGCTTGCCTAAGCAGGTGCTTAGTCTATCTTGCCAGCCCTTTTATTAAATTCTATTAGCTCTTTGTGGTAGTTAAAATTATTTTTCTATAACCTTGGGCTATATCTATTTGCTTGGTTATGAATTTGAATTATACCATTTAGTATTTCCTAATCAATACTTGATTCTTATTTTTTTTTCCCAAGAAGTTATGACCACTTTTGGTCTTCTTCCTTTGAAATTTTTCTGATTCAAAAAAAAAAAAATCCCCGTTGACCTCATTTGGTTGTGCAACGAGGTCAACATAGGTTAGGATGATAGTGCAGGACATCTTACTGAATTTCTTAGTAGCTGTTACCCTTAGTACATTGTATACGTAAGAGTAGCTGTCAGCATTTACTTTAGTTCTTTTGCAGAGATGAATAAACATCTTGAAATGCTGATTAGACACTGTTTTTAAAATGTTAAGGGGCACTTTGGTGTATGACTGACTCTTGCTTAAATGCTTTGCAGCATTATAACAGAGTTGGATTCATCCCATCTTTTAAAGCACTTGTCAGAAAAATATGGGCCAGCATGGTAGAATGTATTAGCTCAATACATTGTCTCCATTTTATTATGAAGCTGCTGAGGAAGCTGTGATATACAGCACTGTCATTACAGATCTATTGTTAGGATGGTTCCACAGTCGTCTTTGCACTGCCATTAATTTATAGCAGTAAACAATATGGAGTCTTCCAACTGCAGCAAAGCAGAATCTTTTAATGAGGTGGATGTTATTACCACAATAAATCAGTGCTTTCATGTAATGTATAATTCAATGTGTGTATTCCCACTGTAACTTCTCTGAGTAAGCTGATAGTGTATCATTGTCATTGCACAGCTCTACTTGTCTTTTTTTTTTTTTAACCTTTTATTTGGGGACTTCTTTTTTATATGCTTGCAAATAAATGTGGTATGTCTTGATAGCTGTCCTACAACAGGCTTCAGAAGCCAACTGTAACAATAACAGCCAGAATCAATACTGTGGGTTCTACCTACATGGATCTTTGCATGATACCATTTTTTTCAGATGCTAGTGAAATCAATCCTAATTGGTTTTAGCATTATATTCAAGAAACGTGATTGTATAACTATTGATTTTTGAGGTTGTGGGTTACTCATTTGGAGAATAATAAAAAAAGGAGCAGATAAAGTGAATGCTTATTATGCTGCAGAATCACACAAAAGCAGCATTGACTCTATTTTTAATTCATATAATTTGTCTTTCAATGATTTTATTTCTTTCCTTTTGCATGGCTCAGTCTTTAGGGACAAAGTCTAAAATACATTTAGAGACTCTGTAGATTGGTTCTGTAACAAAGGAAGAATTTCTTGGATAGAGTTCCATTCTTAACTGGCACACATTTAGTCAGATATAGTTCTTTTTTGTAGACAGTAACACTTTAAAAGATAACATTTTAAAATTAGAATATACATTAACATCCACTTACAATAGTAAAGATTTTAAAAATTCTATTTGTAATAGAATAGTCTAAAAGTGTGTTAAAATAAAATACATATTGATTAGAACCAAATGACTGAAAGAGAATGACATCATTCACTAATCTGATAAAATTGCTTACCAAGTAATTTCAGAGAGGTAGCCAAAAGATGAATTTAAAATGAGGCTTAAAAATCCTGTAACATAAAAATGTTTAAAATTGGATCTGAACCTTGCTTCATTGTCACTACAGTATTTCTAAATATGTCCATATTGAGGCAATCTATTTTCTTGTTTTGCACTGCCCCTGTGAATAATCAGATACTTTCTTATAAATGACGGGAAAGGAACTCATAGCAAAAGGCAGTTCTACATCCTATTAAGCGAAGTACATTCATCTGTTTTTCAGTGACTTGGTATTTGTATTTTAAATAAGGAATTGAAACCTACTAGAAATTATAATTTTTAAGAGAATACAGTGTTATTTAAAGCACTTAACATTTTTTTGAGCCCTCGGCACCTTTGAGAATATTAAGAATATTATTCCTAAAGACAACGTGTATTTGCGTAATCACAAAATTTTACTTACTAGGTAATGGATTTGTGTAGTTGCTGCATAATAAAAGCAGCAGTAATGGAAATGAAGCCAACTAATATTTATTAAGTTTTCATCATAAGCCTGTGCCAAGCAATGTATTTGGGGCTTTACAAGTAATTATTTTCTTCAAACTCTTCTGCCCTTCATCGGAAAGATCATCTTAAGACAAACAACATTCATTGCATGTAATCAGGCATGATTTGTGAGAGTGTAGTGTACTTTCTCATTTTGTCTTCCAAAATAACCTCCTGACTGGGTGTTACTATTATTCCAGCGAGCCTAGGTTTCTCCCATTTTGTTTTCCTGCTTCTGGAGGGAACTGTGCTGCCATGTTGTACCGTATTGTCTTTCAGTAAGCTGAGAAGCTGTCTGCCATTCTTTTTGTATCTATAAGTATACATATAGTTACACAGACACGTTAGTAACTCTGACTTCTCTCATACTAGTAGAAATTTCTAGTTATGTCTTAATCCCTTTTTCTTGCAGTCTCTCTTTGCAACTCCACCCCCATCCTAGTTATCTTCCATTCTCTTCTCAGAACCCAATGCATGTCAGTCCTCCAGCTTAGATATTGTTTCTGGTTGTTGCTTCTAATTCATGTGCTACAATTTTTTAGGCACTCTCTAAAGTGTCGTATCACTAATACTCACCTTAGGTGTCTCTATGAGTTTGTTACAGTCTAATTAAAAAATTCTTATGCAACAGAAACTAGATTTACAGAGAAATAGCAGGTTTCTCTACCCAATTACTTATGTGTAACCTGCTTTGAAAAGTAATTTAAATAGTACTTCTTTGTTTTTTAAGGCAGGGTCTCCCTGTGTAGCTTCTGCTGCCCCTAAATTCCTAGCAACCCTCCTACCTCAGTCTCCTGTGTGCTGTTTCAGATTTTACACACTTTTAGATTTTTCTTTTACAACTTTTAGTAGGATAACAGAAGAAAGGAAAAAGTACAGGACGATTACATTTATGTTTCTGATTTTTGTTCTTTTTTATTTCTCTTTGGCAGCCAATAGGAGCTTTGAATCCAAAAAGAGCAGCATTCTTTGCAGAACGTTTTGAATCATGGGAAGACGAACAAGTTCCAAAGTTCCACTATGGTACTCATTATTCAACTGCAAGTTTTGTTCTTGCATGGCTGCTAAGAATAGTAAGTTCCACTTAAATAATAAACCATGACTAAATAAATTCAATGTTCTAGAGAATGTATAATGATTAACAATTTTCAGCATCTTTTTAAGTGCTAAAAATCTTTCGAAAAGTTGTGGCTCTAATTGTAAGTACTTCTGTCAATTAGTATGTATTTTATAGCATTATGATATAATTGCCTTAAAAATGTTTTACTTAGAATTTTGTGGATTGGGGCGGGGGAGATGGCTCAATAGAATACGTGCTTTCCTGGCAAGTACAAGGGCCTGAATTCAATCTCTGGTTCTAAAAAAAAAAAAAAATTGTGTGAAATTTTCCCTTAAATTTCCTATTTAAATATTTGTTGTTTTACCACATTAGTACAAGTTATTTTCAAATTTACTCTCTTACAGTATGAATTAAGTAAGCTTTCACTAAAGCTGTAACATAGTATTTTGGAAGCTTCAGTTGCTCGATTGGAGTGATAGGTATCTGCAGGTAACCAGTGTTGCAGTGTATTGAGGATATATTGGTTAAACAAAAAATGTTTCTATAAAATTGAAAGGTTATTCATCTACTAAAAAGTAATTTCTTTTGGAAAGCATTAGTATCAGATCATTAATTAAGCTTGTTGGGAAGGTATGGGCAGACATAAATCCTAGAAGTAATTTATAGCGCTTAACTAATTTCAAACCATTATCCACTAATATGTGTTTAAATGTTCTTCAGCTAAGAGGAGGCTTTTAAATCTTACAGCCATTTTTCTTTTCTTAATCATAAATTTAATATTGTGTAATAACGATAAGAAAATTATACATTGGACTACTTCCTTCTACTATGAAGAAAATGCCTCTACGTGATGTCTGAATGGTGTTAATAATTTGTTCTTGGTGAGGAGGAACATCTCAGAAAATGTCACAAATACTAAATTTTGGAAATGCTTAGAAAATATTTGTTCTGAAACAAAAATAATTTATGCACATTAATATAATAATTTAGTCTAACATTCCATTCCTAGTTTACTTTAGTAACTAATGCCTATTTGTAATTAGAATATTTAGATGTACATCTTTATAAAAACATTCTTAGGCATAAGAGAACATATGGATTTTTTTAACTGTTTATTTTTTAGGAACCTTTTACAACTTATTTCCTAAATTTGCAAGGAGGAAAATTTGATCATGCAGATAGAACTTTTTCATCAGTTTCCAGAGCGTGGCGAAACAGTCAGCGTGACACTTCTGATATTAAGGTACAGAAATGATTCATTTTACAATGTGTTTGTTATTCGATAAATACACAGTCTCTCTCCTCCAGTACACTCTCATTCACTAAAGCTAGGCCTCAGAGGATGAGGCCTTAATTAAACATTTGGCCAAGAACCATTGTATAGAATTTCTGTCTCCATTTTTCTTTTCTGTCTGTCTCTACATGCCTGTCCATATCCTGAATGTTTGTCTCTTCCCTAGTTCTACTTGTAGATATTTCCCCCTCCTGTTTGCAGTCTTTTGTTTAAATAGAAATATAGAAGTGTAGATATAAAAGATTTAAAATAGAATGCTCAGTAGAATTCCAAATTCAGTAGAAACACTTTCTCTGAAAAATACTGTGAGAAAAATCTCAGGCATAGATGTTTCGAAATGCTGTATTTCTGCATTGCTTACTAGCGTATTGGCTGTTCATATTAATATCATTTAGTGTGATATTTCCATACATGTGCACAGTGTTCACTGATGACTTCCAGCCTCTCCCTTTATGTCCCCTCTCCTGACACACACCATCCCTACACTCCAGTAATTGCATTCTATTTTTAAGTCAGTTTTTCAGCTTACGTATAAGAGAGAGCACGTAGTACTTGCGTTTCTGTAACTGGCTTAGTTTCATTTAACCTAATGTGCTTCGGTTCCATCTACTTTTCTGCAAATGCCACAGTCTCATTCTTTATGGCTGGATAATGCTCTGTTGGGCCTTCACCTCTTCATGGGCACCTGGCTGATGCCATCTTTTAGCTATTATGAATACTATGGCAGTGAACATGGGTGTGCAGGTTCTTCCTTGGCATACTGACTTCCTTTTCCTGTGGTCTGTACCCAGGAGTGGGATGTAGCTGGAACATGTGGTAGTTGTAGTTTTTGCTTTATTGAGAACCCTCTGTGCTGTTCTCCATAATGGATGTACTAATTTGCATTGCCTCTACCAGATCCTTTTCTTCACACCTTCGTCAGGATTTTGTTTTATTACAGCCATTCGACCTGGAGTGACATGATAACTTATAGTTTAGATTTACAGTTCTGTAACAGCTAATGATAATGAACATTTTTTATTTCATTTATTGGCTGCTTGTTATTTCTTTATTTTCTATAATTTTTTTGAGAAACAGCAATGAGACAGTGTTATTTCTTTCGAGAAGTGTCTATTCAGATCGCTTGATCGTTTTTAATTGTATTTCCTATTTTTTTATTGTTAAGTTTTTGAGTCCTTTATATATTCTGTATATTAATCCTCTGTTGAATCAATAGTTGGCAAATATTCTGTCTCTTTTTATAGGTTGTCTTGTGTCTGTTGATTGTTACCTTTGCTGTGCAGAAATTTGTTTAATGTAATTCTGTTTGTCAGTCTTTGCTTTGGGGATCTTATCCGGAAAATCATTGTCTGTAATAATGTCAGTTTTCTCTGTATAGGTTGAGTACCATGTCTCCACTCATAGTCTAATCTTCTTTACCTGTTGGTTTTGTGTACATGTCTGACTCTGCATGGTCAAGGATCACATTTTTGCTAAAGAAAAATAAGAGCTCTCCTGTCCAGGGCTTGTGATACAGCCGAGTGGTCGCATGCTTGCCTCGTTCTGTTCCCCACTGCTACCACTACCACCACCACCACTAATAGATAGATAGATAGATAGATAGGTAAAATTTAAAAGCCTTTTATCTATATACATATTCACTACTATAGAACTTTGAAACCTTTGTTCATTAGCTAATATAATCCTCACCAGACTTTGCTTCTGTGCTCCATAGTACACAAATTTCTTGTCATGGTGTCTCTTCTTGCAGGGAACTGTTAGATGCCATTAGGTGTAGGTATGCCTATGGTTTTGAAGTTTCTTGTAGTTGCATAAAGAATGTCACCTATACATAATTATACCATATGGCAGAAAATAGTAAGTACCAAAGAGAAGTAATAGAGCTCAAAAAAGGAAAAGCACCCCTCACCTGAGGAATGGTTGAAAAAGATGTGGTATTTTTACACAATCGAGTATTACTCAGCTATAAAGAATGATAAACTCAAAGCCTTTCTATTGAAGTGGATGCTACTTGAAGATATACTCATAAGTGAAATAAACCAGATGCACATGTGTAAATATCGTATAGTTTCCCTAGTATAAGAACTCAAAAGAAGAAATACAAATAGAAAGTTATAATACAAGTAAAAGGAAAGCAGGAACTCAAGGACTAAATAATTAAGAGAGGGAAAGGAGAAGAGCTAGGAAACATGACAGTGACAAGCCATACAGTTATATGTAGAAGATGGGCAAGGCAATGATCCTGAGAATCTCCAGAAGATTTTTGAATCTAGCATTTATTTGGAAAGATTCTCACCCTGACTAACTATGTATACTGATACCTGTGAGCTAAGCAAGTGCACTGAAGATGGTAATTTGTAATAGTAGTTTCATGCTTGGAGTGCGTGTCATTCTGGTCTTCTGAATGCAGGTTGCTTTGTCATGACATGCCAGTTGGTGCTGTGCTGTCTCTCAGGTAGATGATTGTTCAAAAAGAAGGGAGTTCATAAAGAATGAAGGCAAGAGACAGGAAAAGGAATGCTGTGGGACTGTCCTGCTTCAAGGTTGTATATGGTGAGATTTTTGGACTTATATGTAAACATAAGAATTACATATTTTTTATGCCTATTTTTAAAATATATTCTAATTTTTAAATGTTTTTTCATCATAGAACCTTTGTCAGTGTCGTCTGTAGGGACTTAAAGTTCAACATATCAATACTTGATGAAAAATACCTGTTCCATGTAATGCCTAAGATGTTTGATATTTAGACAGATAGTGAGGTTAAGCTTGACACCCTAGGTTGTATGGTAATAACAATAAGCTTGTCTTCTGCATGGTTAACAACCTAAGTTTGCAGACCAAAATTAGAGAAAAAGGAGGGCCACAAGGAAAGCCAACATTTTGGCCCTAGCCTTCCAAGGTCAGTTAAGACTCAGGACAAGTGAGAACTTACAGTGTAACGTCATGTAACTTGGTATTGTCCCAAATTTTCTGATCAAGGAGATTATGGGGCCAAAGGGGAAAGTGATCAATGATGTAGAGTATGCCTAAGGAGAGTCACATGGAGAGAAAACATTCTCTCAGGCTTTTACAGAGAGCACATTGGCCAAGCAATGGCCGTGACTCATCCACATGGCTGACACTCACAAAGGTTCTACAATCTGAGGTACAGAATCTCAGCATAAATCCTGAGGGGATTTCACTGACCTTATCAGACCCAAAAGCTACAACTCTTGCTGTATAGGTCCTGCTTTACCTTACAATTTCTGACATTGCCAATGAAGCGGAAGACCCAATACTATTATGGACTGTTGGACTTTTTTAGAATATTTTTCTGAGTTAACACACCTATAATATTCAAATAAGGGAACTTAACCAAAAAAAGGGGATATAGATGAATGTCCATTTTGTAGCTGTGTTTTCAAAATGGTTAGGATAGATATATAGTTGCATTCTCTTAATGAATAGAGGGATTTGTTCTAATAGTGTTTGTAAATAGGATATCATGTCCGCATCTTGTACAGCAATTAACCACTAGGAAGAATGTATGTAATGTGTTAATTATTGCAACTGTCCTACCAATTTGATTTGAAACTGTCTCATTGCTATTTGTTTCTCAATAAAATTATGGGGGGAAAAGGAGGAAAAGCTACATTACTAAAGTATAAGTTTTAACAGGGCAGTATAAACATTATCAGTATAGTAATATTAGATTACTCACTTTATGTTTTTTTTTTACTGTCTAAAATATATTTGATGAGAAAGACAGGTATACAGGATGCTGTTTTTAATCCATAGAATACTATTTTGTCCAGAGTTAAGACTCTGATAAGTAACATATAATAAGATATAAACATAATGAAGTTATGGCTGGGGGAGGTGGGGCTGCAATGACTTCGTAGAATGATTTTTAAGCTCTCTTTCAGGGCAGGGAATTTAATATATCTCCTAAATTTGTCTCTAGCCTGTACATTTCTTCTGAAACCTGGCTCTCTCCCTCCTCACTACTTCCTTTTGAATA